CGAATTTAAGCGCAGTACTAGATTGGTAGCTAGGTCTCATCATTTTACAGTTGAAACTGCTAGATGTATCCGTAAGTTCTATGCTAACGATTTCTTCTAATGCATTTCTCGCTTATGGAACTCTCTTTTGGTTCCATTGTTTTTCACTCAATGTTGATCTTCAAAAATTTAAATGCAATGTCAATCATTATTTTCTGTCTTCTTAATTCTTGTTCTTTTATTGTTCTCTCTAATGTTTTTCTCATATTCTCTAACATTCAGTAACCCCTTGAACCTTAGTGGCTTTATTGCCTTGCTTGGAGTGAAATGATAAAAAATTATAAAAATAGAAATTACATCATTTCAATAATTCCACATTTAATGATATATAAGACAGAATTATTTCTTATAAAGTCAACTGGATAGATTAAAATACATAGATTCCTCACGCAGAACATATCATCAATGGAACTACGAAATTACTGAACGGCAGCTATCAATTTATAACGATAAGTGTGAATTAAAGTGTGGTCCAAAAGTCTTATCACGCTATACCAAAAAATAATGAGAAGAGAACAATAGTAATACAGTAATACAAAGCAGACGTCCTGGATTCAGCTTATTCAATTTCATTGACGCTGTAATACACCGAGAAACCTCTCTTCCAAACTGTAGAGCTTGTGTCAACTATCTGAATTAGAAAATTATATTATGTAGGGATGACAAGACTTTCGGACCCACCCAATATGGCGTCAAGAAATTTTCGATTAACCTCGAAATGCAATTGTAAAATTATTTAAATATTAATGTGATTAATCATGCCGAAAATATAACCATTCTTCTTCTATATACCGTATCCATTTATGACGTGGGTGGTCATGGCTCTCCACAATTTCCTGACCTCTTAATTGCTGTTGTTCCCAGGTCTATCCTGACCCAGGTGGTAGCACCTGTTAGGGTTCCAGCTATGGGCAAATAGCGAAGCCCCAAACAACAGTATATTTTTTATAATAAAATGAGCAACAATAGAGTTTTATAGTAAAATGGTAATCAATTCAACACGAGAAAAATACATTTTTTATAGTAAAATTACCAACATACATTTTATGGTCTACAAGCCACATTTATATATATATATATATATATATATATATATATATATATATATATATAAATATAAACAAAACATAACTTTAACCTCAAAGTATAAAATTATGTACAAAACATGTAGATTTCGGCATTAAATAACCCATAGAAGTGTTGATATGCCGCTAGACAAAATCAACCAACCAACAATCAACCGATTTTCTGTTCTTTGTAGCTCTTAATAAATTTTGACTTTTCGCTATTTTTCTTTATCCGTATTTTGTCAAAAACCTTCCAAAAATCTTTCCTTATTATGTGTCCTAGAAATTTTCAATTGATCTTTCTGGTGTTAAGTATCCTTTATGTTTCCATTTCCTCAAAACTTCCACATTGCTCATATGCACAGTCTATCGTAATCTCATTATCTTTTAATAGAACCACATGTCTGTAATTAGCTACAGTCCCAAAAGGACTCGAATGTTCAATAATTGCAAAATTATTGAAATATTTCAGTCATTTTGGGACGGTAGTTATTTGCAATTATTAACGTTAATAGAAACTAAATGCTACAACCATCGATCGTCCAAAGAATCGTCCACTTTTCGAAGAGTGTGCAAAAATAGATTTCTAAATATTACTCAACATCAAGACTCCCCAAAAGCAATTTGATAATCTCAGCTTGACTTGATCCAAGTCACTCATTAAGTACAAAAGTCACTTTGTTTTACTTCCTTTAATAAAAGATTGTGACAAATATTGTGAGATAGCCAGGTTCCAATATTTAAATGTAAAACATGAAAATGCTTTGAAAGTATGCCATTTTGAAAGCATCAAACTGCTGGGTTTTTTTTTTATTAAAGATAAAGGGATAGATCGGTTTACTATACAAGGTAAATGGTTTTCATTTCTGGCATGGGAGATTTAGAAACATCAAAGGGATGTTATGCTAAATGAAAAATAACTTATAAAAATGGAACGATTCCTTATTTATAAACTCACTTGAAAGCCGACCTATCGGGCGGCCTTTAAGCCCACTCCTGCTCTTGATTGGGCCTTCCACACAATAGATTGGGAGGAGTAGATGCAATAAGCAATAATAAACTACAGAAGAACTCAAAACTTGATGTACGTTGGTCCTTACTTTCCGTACAAATAATTATTTTATTTCATGGGTGACTTTCGGTGGGTTTAGCAATTAAATTGGTTTATTCCCAAATGTATTCCCGCGTTACCATACAAAAAAATTCGTCGCAAAAAATTACCTACAAAAATCGCCGAAAACAATCGCAGTAATGAAAACTTGGGAATCCAAAATTTTCAGGATTTACTCACGGAGTTGGCCTGAAAACAAAATCGCATAATGAAAACTTATGGGAAAAGTTGAAAAAGTTCAGGATTTACAGACTGACATTCGTGGCCTGATTTATTATATAGATATATGAAGATGAGCTATTGAAAGTTAGAGAGTTTTGTCATTTAATTGAAAAAGGTATGACCCAGTGAGAGACTAACATTCGCATTTATTATATAGATATATAAGAAGATGAGCTATTGAAAGTTAGAGAGTTGTGTCATTTAATTGAAAAAGTATATGAGAGACTGACATTCGCATTTATTATATAGATATATAAAGATGAGCTATTGAAAGTTAGAGAGTTGTGTCATTTAATTGAAAAAGTATGACCCAGTGAGAGACTGACATTCGCATTTATTATATAGATATATAAGAAGATGAGCTATTGAAAGTTAGAGAGTTGTGTCATTTAATTGAAAAAGTATGTCCCAGTGATATTTATTATATAGATATATAAGAAGATGAGCTATTGAAAGTTAGAGAGTTGTGTCATTTAATTGAAAAAGTATGTCCCAGTGAGAGACTGACATTCGCATTTATTATATAGATATATAAGAAGATGAGCTATTGAAAGTTAGAGAGTTGTGTCATTTAATTGAAAAGGTATGACCCAGTGAGAGACTAACATTCGCATTTATTATATATATATATATATAAGAAGATGGGCTATTGAAAGTTAGAGAGTTGTGTCATTTAATTGAAAAAGTATGGCACAGTGACACACTAACATTCGCATTTATTATATATATATATATATATAAGAAGATGGAAAAAGTTAGAGAGTTGTATCATTTAATTGGAACAGTAACAGTGACATTATTTATTACATAGAATTTATTAGAACATTAAACGTTATTGATAATTATTAATAGTTGATTCGGATTTCTTTCATTTTAATTTCACCTACTTTATGTCCACTGGTAGTATTAGTAGTAGTAATATTAACTTGTATTTTATTATTAGAGAAACAATTGTCAACCACTATTAATTTTTGACTAGTATTTCTTTCGTCGTAATTTCACTTGCTTTATTTCCACTAGTAGTAGTAATATTATCTTGAATTATTTATTACATGAATCGTTATTAATTTTTAACTTGTGTCTTTATTTGTCCTTTCATTTCCTTTATTAACACTAGTAGTATTATTAGTAGTCATAATATTATCGTGAATTTTAATATTAGATGAAACATTGGCAACGATTATTCATTTTTGACTATTAATTCTTCCATCTTTATTTCGGTTGTTTTTTTATCGCAACTACCCAGAGTGTCAATCTATGGTCATCGGTAAATAGTGATTTTCTAAGCCCAGCTTAGATGTGGCACAAGGCCGAAAGTATGGGACACCCAGTGAGGATCGAACTCACTACTCAGTCGTAATTG